CTGGCACCCGCAGTGGCTGGGTATTTGCTAAGTGACAGAACACACACACCAGGCTGCACTCACAGCCTCTCCTTGCTTGTGCCGGTCCGTGTGGATATAACGTGTCTCCCATGTGTCTCTCCGCTTGTCCAGCTTGCAAGCTCCCCGGGGCCGGAGCCAGGGCCGGGCTTCAGCTCCCAGACCAGCTTCAGGCCCCCGATCAGCGGGCCTGCCTCGCAGGTGTTTTGTTAACCTCGTTTCGAACCAGATCCGCCGGAGAGAAATACATTTTAAAACCACGTGCGCTTTAAGGAGAATTTAATCTGCATGTCTGGGATTCATTAACACGTAGATCATCAAATTAAGGTTTGCTCACAGCTGCTTGACATTGGCAGGGCCTTCGGCGTATCTTTAGTAAGTGCCTTTAAATATTATTTCTTTCTTATAATTTCAGGGCTGGCTTTGGAGCACTCCGTTCTTCAAATAGGACCGCGACGCACGAGATGAGGGGGTGGCAGGACCCATCCCTGCAAGGTGCTGCTGGCCGCGGGGAGGTCGGCCCGGAGCCATTCAGCTGTTCTCTCCGTTTCTGCTCGCCGACCGGCTCTGGCCCAAACGGCCCCGTCTCCATGGTGAGTGTTCCTTGTTTGGCTCTTTCGTGGGCCCCATCGCTCTTCTTCTGGGCAACCCTGATGCCCACCCTGCTCCTGGGATCCGCAGGGACTCAGGCTTGACCCGTGAAAGCACGGCCTTCCTGGGCTGCAGTCACGGACCTCCGTGCAGCTCCAGGGCCCAATCCGAGGGCATGAGATGGGAGGAGGCTCTGCAGTGGAGGGAGGCAGCTCTTTTCTGCTGGGACTTGAGACCTCAAGCTGTGGGGCTGGAGCCTCCAGGCACCACGTGGGGCCTGAGGATGACAAAGGTGGACACGCAAAGCTGAGAGGTGGAGAGAGGCGGGTGGCAGCAGGAAGGCCTGCCCTTGGCCACCACTATGGTTTGGGTCGCATCCCCCATCCCGGTTCCTATATTGAAGTCCTATCCCCCAGCGGTTCTCAACCTGTGGGTCGCGACCCCTTTGGCGGTCGAACGACCCTTTCACAGGGGTCGCCTAAGACCATCCTGCATATCAGATATTTACATAACGATTCATAACAGTAGCAACATTATAGTTATGAAGTAGCAACGAAAATAATTTTATGGTTGGGTCACAGCATGAGGAACTGTATTTAAAGGGCCAGAAGGTTGAGAGCCACTGCTAGAGCCTCCGAATGTGACCTCATTTGGAAATGGGCTTGTTGCAGGTGCCATTGGTTGGGGTCATACTGGAGGAAGGGGGATGCTTAATTGAGGCAATATGATCGGTGTCCTTGTTGCTGGAAGCCAATTCCAGCATGTCAGCAAGGGCTGAATCATCTGGAGTGGCTGAAGGGCATGTCCCCAAACCTGAAAAGGGATGATTGCTTGCTGCCAGACAGCTCAGGGCATCTTAATCTACATGTTATTGCCTCCTACTGGCCAAACACCTGAACAGCCGTAGGCTAATTCTCCCCATTCTGACAATGGATTGTGTATACAGAAACCTGACCCTTTGAAGTGTATATCTCCACCTCGCCTCAGGACAATTTGTGTTAATAAATAGCAAGGGGTCCTGAGACTAACGAGATCTTAGTTTCTTTAGCTAGGCTCCTTGGACCCCCAAATGCCTTTCAAAATTATGCTTCATCTCTGGACTCTTTATTAAGTTACACACAGCCCTTCTCCAGATTGCTGAACCCTTCTTCATGCTGGAGCAAGAACCCCAGCACTTGTAAAAAGGGGGCTCTGGGGTGTGGAGACACAGAGGGAAGGTGATGTGAAGACACGGGAGGAAGACGGCCACAAGCCAAGGAGAGAGGACCAGGCTCCCCCTCTCGGCCTCAGAAGGAGTTGGCTTGCCAACCTTGATCTTGGACTTCTGGTTTCTAGAACTGGGAGGCATAGGTTTCTGTTGCGTAAGCCCCCAAGTCTGTGGTATGTTGTCATAGCAGCCCCAGCAACCCCCCTTTGAACTTTTCCATCATGAAAACCAACACATCATTTTTCTATCTTTATTTTGTCCCGTAAGCCAATTTGTGTTGAGTCTTTCATTGAATCCAAGGATAAAAGACTTATTTGAACATCACTGTTCCACTTAAAATCTTATAGTTCGTATGTCAAAGATCCGCTGCTGTATAAGATGCTACTCCAGGCCGAGTGGCATACAACAAAGACCACTGTTGATTTTGCTCACGAGATACAGTTTAGGTTGAACCTGGAGGTGGTTTGTCTTTGCTCAGTAAGGCATCAGTGGGCGACTCAACGGGGACTGATGGGTCCACTTTCAAGATGGATCACTCACCTGGCTGGAAGGTGGCTGCTGGCTGTTGGCTGGGAGTTCAGCCCGGGCCCTGGATTCCTCTCATGTGGGCTTCTCCACAGGCTGCTTGGGCTTCCTCCTAGCGTGGCGGCCGGGTCCCAAGATTAAGTCTCACAAGAGAGCAGGGTGGAAGTACGTGGCCCTTTTGTGATCTACTCAGAAGCCACACAGCATCGTTGCCACCGTCCTCTCTTAGTAGAGGCTGTCACAAAGGTCCAGCCAGATTCAAGGGGAGAGGACACAGAGCCACTCACCTTATGGGAGGAGTGTCCATGTCACAAGGCGAGAAGAGGAATGGAGGGAGAGCTGCAACCGTCCCTGGAAATTGCAATCTGCCACAGGCCATACCCTCTACGATGCCATTTATATGAAAGCCAAGAACAGACAAAACTAACTGATGATGGTAGGAGTCAGAATAGAGTTACCCTTGGGGAAGGTAATTTTGACTGGAAAGGGACACACGGGAAGCCCCGAGGGGGCTAGGAATAGCCTGTGCCTCGACATGGGGGGGGGGGCAGGGAATTACATGGATGTAGCTATGTGAGAATGTCATTGAGCTGTTCATTCAAGTTCCACACTCTTATGCATTTTATACCTCAATGAAAAACATCTTTAAAGGCATGTCACAAACAAAACCCAACCTCATTAATACGGATGGAAACAGCCTCTGCTGGATCCCAATGATCCGAGCGGCTTGGCTGGTACACGGGGCCCATTAGACCAGCCCGGCCTCCGGTTGTCACTGCGCCCTGGCTCCTCCCGGACCACACAGACGGTCCCTGCCAGACCTCTGGAGCCTGTTGGGAGGAAGATGGATGGGACTATTAATCTGCACAGTCTAAAGGTGAATTCAAAGGGCAGCCATGGCTGGAGATGACGCCCCGACCTGGCTCCAGCTCACAGACCAGGGCAGGGGGCGGCGTCGGCTCCTCCATGGACACCGCCAAGCAGCCGTTCCTCAGGTTGGCTTTGGGGCTCCTTCCCATCTCCTGCCTGCTCCCTTGTGACTTCATTCCTCTCCTATGTCACCAGTTCACTGCATGGACAGGGCATGTCCTCCCCTCCTCGAACCTCTATTTCCCCATCTGTGTATTGGGACCATGGAACAAGCGGTCCCCAGGAGCCCCTCCTTGTGGCTTGAGCACTCTCCATTCAGCCGCCAGGTCTCCCTGCCTCCTACCCCAGCACCTTGTCTGCCCCGTCTCCCTATTTCTGCTTCCCACCAGGATGCTCTCCCCTGCCAACCCCCATGCGGCCTTGTCTTCAAGAGTTTGCGGAAAGCTGTCAGATATGGCCCCGATTCACCCCAAGTTTCTCCAGGCTGGTCGTCCGTCGTGTAGCTCCCCGTGGCCATGGTCTGGTCTACACAGAACTCACTCGTCTGCACATTCTGGAAGGAATGCTGGGACAGTGGCGGGATGCTTCTCCCATCGGACCCAGGATCCCAAGGGCAGGGCTGTGTCTCCGCCATCAGAACGCCGGTGCCTCAGGCCAAGGGCCCATCTTCTCCCTCCCAATAGGTTCCGGTCCGTGACCCACTGGCCCCCAGGGTTCTGAATCCAGCCTGCAGAATGTTCTGTTCGCCTCATCTGGCACATTTCCTTTTTAATTGTTGAATTTGTTACCAACACTGATTTCACATAAAAATCTAGATATTCCTCTTTAAAATGTATTGCAAGCGCTGGCAGCCCTAGGCTTGCATTTCCTTTGGCAATGATTGGGAAGAGCACCTAGGAGCTGCCCTGTGGGTGGGGAGGTCAGCTGCAGTTCCCCATGGACCTCAGCTGGCCCCTCCCACTCCCGGGTACCTGCCCAGGGCTGGAGGCGGTAGGGTCTGCAGTTCGGGCTTTGGGCCCCAGGTGCTTGCTGGCTGCGTAGCTGTCAGCCCGGGTGGCTGCGTGGGGAGAGTGATTCCAGAGATGATGCAGGGACGAAGGCTTCTCTCCTTGTCTCTGCCTCATTAGGATCTAACAGGCTGGATCAATGCCTTTTAACATTAGATACACACCGACTGTTTCCTGCATCAGGAACAGCCTGTGCCAACATGGAATGCTTCTCTAACCTAAAACTTGCCTTTGGGAAAATTACATTGAGGAAGGATGGAGGGAGAGGCACCTTTATCCAGTAATGACTTATAGGGGGCTTTCCTTCCCGTGTGCCAGGCATTGAGCCCGGGGCTATGGATGCAGCAGGGAAAAACCCCCAGTCACCATCTCGTGTGGCTCTCGGTCACATCCACTCAGTTCCTCCGCTTAGGCAGAAAAGGCCCAGAAAGGGCAGACCAAGTCCTCAAGGTCACCCAGCCGAGGTGGACAGAAAGCCTGCACTGCTTCTCAGGCCTCCTGCTTCATCCTCTCCCAGCCACACTGCTCACTTCCGCCGCCCAGCCCCCATGGAGCCCCAAACACACTGGTCCCCTCGCTCTCCTCTTCATCTCCTCTTCAAGTTCTGCTGCTCCGTCCTTGCTTTTAGCCAATGGCCAGAAGTTGGGGCTCACCCAGGTGGGGCTGGGGGCTGCTCAGAGCTGAGAGCTGGCCCTTCTCGGGCAGTTTCCCAGGATGCCCTGCCTACCTATCAAAGGTGATGGCCGTCTCAGTGATGGAGTTTAGCACCATCCCACACGTGGTCGCTCGACAGACACCGCGTGGCAGCAGCCAGGCTGGCTGATGGCTCTTTTCAAGGAATGGGCTTGGAGCAGGGCCCCAGGCTGTTAGCACGGACCTGCCCTTTCTGCAAATACAGGCGAAGTGTCACTCTGGCCGCCTCTGGGGCTAAGTCAGGCTTGGTTTTCAACTGCAGCCACAGAACCTTGTTCTGAAAAGGAAGAGCTAGAATTCATTGTACTCCTGGCCGCTCTGCAGATGTGCAATAAACAGCTGGACCTTCGGCACACCGCCTGCACCCTTCCGTCTAGAGACCGGTCCCTGGACAACCGGCCAGGCTGGGTTTGAGCCTCCAGACGCTTTGCAATTCGCTAGCAGTGAAACTCAACCAACTCCCCGAAAAGCCTTTGGTTGCGTTCAAACTCCTGGGTATATTGAAGCCAGCCGGACAGATTCTGGCCAGCAGCTGCTGAGTTTGAAACAGGCTGACTGTAATTGGCTCAGTAACCATGTCTTGTCTAAATAAAAGAATAAGTGATGACAGCTACTGTTTACTGAGCATCTGCTATGCGCCAGGCACCTTTGTGCATCGAAAACTTGCAAGGTGGGCATCACACCCCCATTTTCCTGGGGTTGAAGCAGAGGTCCAGAGAGGTCAGTGCACCTGCCCGAGGTCACACAGCTGGCCAGTGAATAGCCCAGATTTGATCCCAGGCCTCTCTGATGCCCTCACCCTTGTTCTCCTCTATGGGGGTGCTCAGGCAGAGGCTGTGCAGACCTGTCGCTCCCCCGTTCCTTCCCTGGGTCTCGGCGCAGCCTGAAATGTCCCCGACACAGTGAGGATGCTGAGCCATAATCGGCTCAGGGTAAGCAGATCAGAGGACAAGGCTGTCTCCCATCAAAGGCTTTGATCTACATCAGAAGAGATGGGTGAACTCATTCCTCCTCACAGTCTTGATCCGAAGCCCTAAGGCATAGCCCTGGAGGAAACGCCCCAGTTCAGAAGGTCCTTTCAGCCAATGGAGCCCCGACAATGTGCCCGGGACTTTCCATGTATCAGGTCATGTTATTATCTAGGCGGCATGGTGGGTGAGCCCACAGCCCCTGGCGCCAGGCTGTCTGGGTTCCAATCATGACTTGGCCACTTGCCAGCTGGATGCCCTGGGCAAAAATCACTTAATCTCCCAGAGTCTCGTGTTGCCTCTCTGTAAAATGGGCAGAATAATAGTACCTACTTCGCTGGGTTAGTGTAGGAAGACATGAGATGATATGTAGAGTCCATGGCACAGAGCTTGGCATGTAGCCCGGGCTCTAAAAATGGTGAATTTCATTTTCATGTGTTGTTTAATAGAATTCCTCATGAGAGTCCAGAGGAGCGGATATTATCCTCATCTTACTGATGGGGAAACTGAGAGTAAGAGAGGTTCAGTGACTTGCCCAATGTCACACAGCTTGGGACTCACAGAGCTGGAGTTTGAATCTGTCCTTAACACCAGCCACCGAGGGGGAATCTGAGAGCTGATTTCTAGAAAGGTCTGGTTGCATCTCTCCTCCCAGGCCTGGGTCCACCCAGAGGCCGCTTTCTGTGGCTGGCAGGTTTTTCTTTTCTTTTTCAGGTGATTTTTAACACTTTTAGACCAAATGTGCAGAAGAGAAACCCAGGCCCAGAGGGGTTGTGGACCTGCCCCAGGACACCCAGCAGCACTGGGACCCAGAGCCCCTCCCAGTGCAAACACCGCCTCCCCGGGGCTCGCTGGGCAGTTCACTGGAGGTGGATGGGTGAGTGGGGAAGTGAAGGTGGCTTCTCTTGGGGATGAGCGCCGGGCAGCACCGTGTTGATTGATGGCTGAGGAAGGTCATTCTGCAACCAGACTGGGCCCGGCTGGGGCTGGGACATCTGTCAGCCGGTGCCACACCACTCTTTGAACTGGGAGGCATGGGGGCGGGATGGGCCTCAGGAAAAGCAATGCTTCCCCATGTGAGAGTCGGTTTCAGAGACCCGGTGGGGCCACATGGATGCCCAAGGCCGGCTCCAGTGGGCATGTGCCGGTGGGCTGGCATGGGCCTGAGAAGCCCTTGGAGGCCTCACCGGGGTTGGCCCTGGGCTGTCCCTTCCTGCGGTCCCCGTAGCAG